TCTCTCTGTATAACCTGAGGCTAGTCACTTCACTAGGTAAATGTGAGGGTGTACAACTACTTTAAAGTGGTTCTAAAGGTTCAATATTTTTTACCTTCATGCATTCTATGCATGAAGGTAAAAAAAACTTTTGTTTGCAGCAGCCCCTTCAGCCCCTCTAATACTTACCTGAGCCCCATCTCGATCCAGCGATGTGCACAAGAGCCTTGGCTCTCCGGGGACTCTCCCTCCTCATTGGCTGAGACAGCAGCAGGAGCCATTGGCTCCCACTGTTAATTACAGCAGTGAGCTAATGAGAAGAAAGGGGGTGGGTAGAGAAAACATTGCCTTTTTAATATCACTTTAAGTCACTTTAGAAGGTTGCAATGCAATTGGGAATCTTTCCTGGTAAATCTAAACACTGTGTTCTTGACTTTTACAGCTGAGAAGTGGCAAGCTGTGTACACGATCTTGGAGGCTTTCGGCAACAGCAGTACCAATCTGAATGGAAATGCCACACGCTTTTCACAGATCATTTCTCTTGACTTTGACCAGGCTGGACAGGTGGCATCTGCTTCCATACAGGTGAGAGAGGAAATGCTCCAATATGTCTGGGTGCCTGCGGTTACCTTTGAGAGCTTATAATACCTACAAGTAAGCGTAGAAAATGTGTTTAGATTTGTAAGCCGGTGTGGTGTGTGATTTTAGCCTTCAGCATGGAAAGGATTAACATTGGATACTAAGTAGCTTTTCATAAGTGCACAAGACTGTGAATTAATTTCCTTCAAGAAAACAAATTTCACCAGCTTACAACTGTGAGGATGTTGCTCGTTTTTCGAGAGCAAAATTAACCTGTTTCCACCTGCTCAGATTTCCTTTAGGAACACCAGCAGCTTTGCACTTTTCAGTGAAAGTGATAAATTTGTATTTTCCTTTGAAAATGCGAAAATCTAACAGAAGAAAGTGTACAATTGTGGATTCTAAGGGCACTAAAGGACAGCTCCATGTAAGACTTACAAGCAGGGATTGGAGCAAGTGGGAGGGGGTGGCATTGTGAAAAAATTCACTTGCCTCTGTATACCTAAGGTTCATGTTCTCCTCATAATGCTCCAGGCCTGAGCGAATGCCATGTGAGCTTTATTATGCCAGGTCTGATATCAGGAACATTGAGGTGCAGATGATGGGTATAGAGTGTCCCCCATAGTATGCCTTTTATCCTCCCTGGAGGTATTCCCGAGTGTAGCTCGGGGTAAAGTTTCAGCACCACAAGCGGTAACATTGAGCTACACTCGTTGCAGTGTTGCTCCGGGATCTCTTCTTCACTTACCTTTGTCCTTGTTCGGGCAGATTTCAGTGAGTTATTCCTAAAAATTACAGGCCTACAATAAAAAAAACAACATATTTCCATGCAAAAAAATGTACCGCTTTGAGCACAGAAATACTCACATAATCAGACCGCTAAGGAGGCTACAGGATCATTCTACCCAAAAGTGATATTTCAGTCTTTGATGGAGCCTGGCTTTTTATGTCTTGGATACTCCCAACTGTAAACGCTGCCTTCTATAGTTCCTAATGCTGTCTTTGTCCATCTACAATTTCTATCAGCATTTTCTGTTGTATATCAAATAAATCCAGGTAGGGGAACTTTAATACTGACCATAGCAGGGTTGAAATCACACTGAAGATGGGATCAGCAATCCGGTAAAAAAAAAAGAAGAAAAAAAACTACAAGAATCCTTTATTGATAATTTTGGGATTAAAAGTTCCACGATATATGAAAAACTACTGACTTTTTTTGTCCTCAAGAGGCCTTAGGGGGCTTAACTAAGGCCCCTTGTGGGCAGAAATGCATCAGTGTTTTTCATGTATCGTGGAACTTTTAATCCCGAAGTTATCAATAAAGGATTCTTGTGGGGGTTTTTTTTTTTACCGGATTGCTGACTATATCTTCGGTTTGATTGTCTGTCTCCATTAGCGGCTAGTGGAGGCTGCAGTTGTGCATTGGTCATACAATGTTCATTTGGTTCTGGATTGAAGGGTAGTAGCATCTTACATGTTTTGCTACAGCAGGGTTGAAGACTTGATGACTAGTGAAGAGATCTCAGGAATAGGGGCCCCAAGAGAGTTTAGAGACATCAGGTGGGTTGACTCCACAGTAATGTCCTAAATTTCAGTTTTGGGTAGACTTCTTCAGTGACACATACAGATTGGAGGATGTGGCTCCACTAATCCTGGCTTACATTTTGTGCAAAAAGCTGTTTTTTAATGAAGTAGTTTCCCTCATAGCATTAATTTAGCCATCATTCGTTGTATGTGGAAGGTTCTGTATAATTGTATACAAAAAAAATTACCACGCTTGTGAAAAAAAAAAAAAAAAGCTGCCGGTTTGCTATGAGATAATCACCACAGCAAAAAGTCTATGTATCAAAAGTGCTGCACTACAATGAAATATACACCTCAACCAATAGTGATAAGCATAAGAAACAATAAAAGATAATGCTTAATAAAAGTCTTAGTGAAAAGTCTCTTGTGATACAATCCAATCGATTCTTTACAAAGAAAATTCCTCCACTGTGATCCAGCACCAAAGAAAGGAACCCAAATCTGCTTACCAAATAATATTGACTCTGAAAACCAACAAGTCAAAATCATCTTATGGATAGAATCCCACACAGGTCACCTCCACCCTTCTTCTGGAAGGCACATCACTGGAAAAAAACACTCTCCCTCCTCCGGACTACTCCTCAACACCATCCACCATAGAGGTCCATGCATATGGGTGATTACCTGGAAAAAGAAGATCACACGCTCCACAGTGTGAAAACTGCTTACCTTTATTTAAAAAGGATACAAATTACTCTCACAGAGGTAAATTATTATATACAGCGCTGTAAAAGCCATCAAAACCTCAGATATCGTGTTGCCAGCGTACTTACAATTCCAGTCAGCGTGATGACATCACAACAGGCTCTGCCCAACTGCATAACTGATCGATGTATGTGTAGTCCTATATACAATTATTATGTAATATTGTAGAACAGACCACACTCAAATTATTCAGTTCATTTCGGTAAAATAGGTGTATATTATGAACTGCAAGAATTCTAGAGTGCTGCTGCAAGCAGCCTTGACCTATACATTCCCTGTCTGTCATTGCTTCCAAGTCATACAGAATATGGCAACATTTTGTATTTGTCAAAATGTTGCCTTATTCAGGTTACAGGGTAACTCTGTAAGGTGCTGCACTTGCATTGAGTGAGCAGTATCTTGTACAGGACTCGCAATGTCACAACTGCCAAAGGAGACACATGTTTCAATGCTACTTGAGGAAACCAGCACAACAGTATTCCCTTTGAACATCTTATTCAGTGCAATAACCAAATCTGTAGGAGCCCACAAATTGGCATTAATTGGTTGCTGAAATGGCTATAATGAAGGAAACTTAAAGCTAGAAAACAGCTTGTTCACTTGGAAAATAAAATTAGCATTTCACTTTTTTCGATATCTGAAATATGTTTTCTGTTGTATTGATTTGTTTTTCTTCTCTCTTGATTTTTATGTCTATTTTTGGGTTTCAGACAATGCTTTTGGAGAAACTCCGAGTGGCCAGACGTCCAGAAAATGAAGCTTCCTTCAATATTTTCTACTACCTCTTGGCTGGAGCGGACAGCACTCTCCGGTACGTGAATTAAACTTTAACTGTGCTTGGCTGTTCTGTTTAGTCTGCTTATTTTCCAAATGATTTATGAGGCAGATGTGTTATTTGTTGAGTTTGTTTGTTTTTTTTTTTTTTTTATCACAGCTACCTTTTTTTTTTTTTTTTTTTTTTTTTTTTAAATGTTAACTCGTACTTGCAAAATGTCAGCATATTCTGCAGCAGTGTGAGCAGGTAACACATTCTCCTCATTGCCCACGGAGCACTCTTGAAGACTGATCTCTAAATAGTTTCTGTTGATTACTGGCTACCATTGTTCTTTACAATGTTATTAAATAAAAATGTGTGCCCCCCTCCCCTTCAGATAACTTTAACCTTGGGTTCACACATATGCATGCTGAAATCGCATTGCAATGTATGCATGCGTTTATGTGTGAATAGCTTTGTGATTTGAGTGCGATTTCACCAGTGGTACGATTTTGGCTTCTGCATTTCCGTTGTCTTCAATGCAAAATTACCTTGCATTGACTTCAATGCAAAATCGCCTTCCAATTACTTCAATGCAAAATCGTTTTCCATTGACTTCAATGCAAAATCGTTTTCAATTGACTTCAATGCAAAATCACCTTCCATTGACTTCAATGCAAAACTGCTTGTCAATCGCAATCCTATGTTAACACTGATCTACGCAATTCCACTAATAATCCATCACTTGCGAGTCTAGAATGCAGTGCTCTAAACTCGCACAGGACCCTTTTTGGAATCGCACTCCATACGCAGTGTCTGTGGATCACATCAGCTTGAACCACCTCAATAGGAACACATATTATGGAGCCTGTCATGTGAATCTGTATATTTGAAAATGCATCCAGAATCACATATGTGTGAACCAGAAATAAGAAGAGATGAATGCTGCTAGAACAAAACATCTGCAACAGGGTTCAGGAGCAGTTTAACCACAAGCCTACAGGGCACTTATACCCCCTTCCTGCCCAGGCCAATTTCCAGCTTTCAGCGCTGTCGCACTTTGAATGACAATTGCACAGTCATGCAACTCTGTACCCATATGACATATTTTTATAATTTTTTTGTGACCGAGCTTTATTTTGGGGTATTTAATCACCTCTGGGTTTTTTATTTTTTCTTAAACAAACCAAAAACCACAGAAAATTTTGAAAAAAAAAAAAAAATTTTTTTTCTTAGTTTTTGTTATAAAATTTTGTAAATAAGTGATTTTTCTCCTTCACTGATGTGCGCTAATGAGGTTGCAGTGATGGGTACTGATAGGTCGCACTGATGGGCACTGATAAGGGGGGCACTGGTAGGTGGCACTTATGGGCATTGACAGGCATCACTGATGGGCACTGATAGGCAGCACTGACGGGCACTGACAGGCGGCACTGACAGGCAGCACTGATTGGCAGCACTGATAGGTGGCACTGATTGGCATTGATAGGTGGCACTGACTGGCACTGATGGGTGACACTGAAAGGCAGCTCAGATGGGCAATGAGATGTGGCATTGATGTGCACTGGTAGGCACTGATATGTGGCATTGATGGGCACTGGCACGTGGCACTGAGAGCTGGCACTTATAGACACTGACAGGTGGCACTCCTGGGGCTACAGTGACCATCAGGGCATACTGATCATCAGTGCTCTGATGATCAGTGTACATGTCCCCTCCGCGGAATGCCGATTACCGGCTCTCCTCTCCTCTCGAGCTGTCAGCGTGACAGCTTGAGAGGAGAGCAATGCCGATAACCGACATTTCCCTGTTTACATGTGATCAGCTGTGATTGGACACAGCTGATCACATGACCGAGCCGACATCTTCGGCTCTTTCTGTGGATCGGTGATTTGCTGTGTCCGAGGGACACAGCGTACCACCGATCCCCACGCTTCGGGAGCTGTGCGTGCGTGGTGAGAATGGGAGGACGTCATATGACGTCCTCCAAGAACGAGAGAACCACCTTGTGTCCGTTATATTACTATATGGCGGGTGGGAGGTGGTTAAACCAGTTTTTACATGTCATCTTTCTGTATGAATGCTGAGCATGAATGTAACAAACTAATATCAGGGAGAAATTGGAATTCATTTTCTTTATACTTTGTAACTGGCCACTGCCATTGGACTGGTGTACTGGCTAGTTGGCTAATATTTTCAAAAGTGGGTCAGTGGCAGGCTATAAAGTTTATGACTATGATAATTTTTTTTTTAGTTTGGTACATATGAATATTGTATATTTTCAACAAATGGCAAGCTCTAAACTAGTTTGTCCAGCACATTTTACAGTTGTGCTGTGAACAAGACCAGTAAAGTAAGAAGATCAGATTATAAATGTTGCACATCTGTACCAACAACTGTATATTGTGAGAGTCTTTCTGACTGGGTATAAACTAAATAGATTGCTTAGGTAGGCATTTGCACTACATAGATGTTGGTCCAGGCTGGAACAAGTATGACCAGCTTGAAAAATCTAAATACAGGATGCTTTTTATGTATGGCTTTATGTGCTTTTCAAACTGAGCGAATATTTATTTTCATTAGATTTTTTTAAGTATTTTAAGTAAAAGTAATAACTTTCAACAAAAAATAGAACTCACTAATGACCTACTAACTGCTAAAACCAATGGCCATTACTCCATACTTGTACTCCTAGACCTTTCCTCTGCCTTTGACACAGTCGACCACATGCTACTCCAAAAGTAAATTCCACTTCATTGTCCTCCGTGACTCTACTGTCTCCTGGTTTTCCTCTTACCTTTTTCAGTGCACTTTCAGCATCACATACAACAACTTCTCTGCTCCTCTTCCTTTTTCCGTTGGGTTACTCCAAGGCTCTGTCCGTGGGCCCTTCCTTTTCTCTCTTTACACCTCCTCCCTGGGCCAATTGATCACCTTCCATGGCTTCCAATAGCACCTCTATGCTGATGACACCTAGATCTATCTGTCCACTCCCCAGCTCACCCCCTCAATCTCATCACGTATTACAAATCTACTAAGTGACATATCAGTATGGATGTCACACCACTCCCTTAAACTCTTTCCAAAATCGAGCTTGTAATATTTCTTCCTCCCTGATCCCCAACTCATGACATTACCATTAAGATCAACAGCACAACCATTGGTCCCTCTACACATGCCAGGGTGCAAGGTGTAATCATAGACTCTGACCTCTCCTTTGGGCCCCACATCCAATCACTGGCTAAATCCTGCCACCTCAACTTCCGCAACATTTCCAAAATCCGCCCCTTTCTGACCAATGACACCACAAAACAACTTATCCACGCCTTGGTTATATCTCGCCTCGATTACTGCAACTCCCTCCTCACTGGTCTACCGTTACACAGGCTATCCCCACTTCAGTCTATTATGAATGCTGCTGCTAGACTCCTACAGCTTACCAACTGATCAGCGACTGCTGCCCCTCTCTGCCAATCCCTTCACTGGCTGCCACTAACCCAACGTATAAAATTAAAAATACTAACCACAACATACAAAGATATCCACAACACTGCCCCTAGCTACATCAGCAACCTTATCCGCAGATATCATCCAAATCGCCCGCTCCATTCCTCCCGAGACATTTTGCTCTCTAGCTCCCTAGTCACCTCCTTCTACACTCGCCTCCAGGACTTCTCCAGAGCCTCTCCCATCCTCTGGAACTCACTATTATTATACAGTATTTATATAGCACCAAAGGGTATGCTCAGCGCTGTACAGTAGCAAGGGGGACAATATGTCCGGTCAGCCCTCATCCTGTGTGCCTTTAGGCGATCCTTGAAAACTCACTTATTCGGGGAAGCCTACCACACCTCCACCTAAGAACTGTACTTGAGCAACCTCCATCAGATCATCTTCTGCAGCTATCACCTTTTGTACCACCTCCCCCTTCCTTTAGATTGTAAACTTCACAAGCCGGGCCCTCCTATTCCTTCTGTACTGAAATGTATTATGATTATACTGTCTCCCTGTATATTGTAACGTGCTGAACAAACTGTTGGCACTATATAAATCCTTTATTATCATAATAATAGAAAACTTGCCAATACTTTTTAATATTTTATTTTTAATTCAATTAAATTTTTTTGCCTTTATGAACTTTTTGTGTATTTGGTAAACCAGCAGTACAATGTGTGTTTTTCGTTTGTGGCATACTGCTTTTGTACAGGCCTTGAACAACTGGCATAATTGATTTCTCTAGATACCAAGATTCTTTCCTTGTTTGACGTGACAATCTATGTGGATTGTTTGTTTGCTTTTTCCCTTCCTAACAAAATCAGTTTATGATCCATATCATGATGTGGCCCCAATTAATTCCGAAGTACATTTTATGTTTTTATTCTCAGCGATTTCTCATCAACATCTAAAGCAATACAGATTTTTGTTCCAGCTGGCTTTTTAAATAACCCTATTGTCATATTTTAAACAATCTCTGTTACTTAAGACATTTTGCAGTCTGCACACTCTTACCACATCTTCATTTTGTAAGATTCCTCCAAGCCCCAATGCACCTGCAGCCAAGAAGAGCCTTAGCTATCTACCATACATACTACCTTGTGATAATGTTATGTATAATAAACATATGATGAAGATGATTTGACTTGCTTATTGAAGAGGAAAGAGACAACTATTCCGTCCGACCAGACGCAAAATTGATGATAAAAGTGCTGTTTTTTAGAATGTTTAGTATGCCATTCTTGTCATATTATTAGACACCAGGTTATTTGAATTATCAGGAGAGCAATAGGGACCATTACTTGTCAGAGAATGCAGCATCAGAGCTAAGGAAAAAGATGTGTGTTGTTATGTAGAGAGGTCAGAAGATGCTTTGAAGCTCCAATAAAATTCTCTAGCCTGTTATTTCTTCATAGGTTGTATAAGGGGAATGAGGACTATTAACCTGAATATTTTATCCTTTTACAGGACAGAGCTTCACCTCAACCACTTGGCAGAAAACAATGTGTTTGGCATTACCCTTGCTTCTAAGGTAAGTGGTGTCCAGCACGGCCACATTTGCTATTATAAATCTCCTTAAAGTAGTGGTTCTTAACTTCACGGACCCCTTTAAGAATCTGCTCAATGCGACGGACCCCCTCCCCAGTAATATGTACATAAAAATGGCTTTGCTTGCAATCAACATATGTACTTTGTTTTATTGAAATTTGATTGCCTCAAATATATATGACATATGCAAAGTTTGGATAAAGTAAAACAAGTGTACAAGTCAGGAGACACTTTACCAGTCTGCGCTATAAGCAGTGTCAAGTTACTGTAGGTTTTTTAAATTTCTTTCAATGGGAAACCATTGATTGGGACAAGTGGGAGGGCTGTATAGTAAATGTAAATCTTTTTTATCTTACCCTCATTGACCCCCTGAAACCCATCTATAGACCACTTAGGAGGTCCATAGACACCAGGTTAAGAACCCCTGCCTTAAAGTGACACTAAACATTATAACAATCATTCTTAAACATAAAGTATACTGCTGTGTGTGTGTGTGTGTGTGTGTGTGTGTGTTCCACTTACTGTCACTTACGTTTGTTTTCACTCTTCATTTATGATTCTCCGCTGATGTGCCTCACCACTGGCAGTGTAGAGTGAGCAGTAGTGTCTGTTTATATCCTGACACTTGATCCACTCTATCTGTACTACATTTCCAATGGTTATCTATCCACCATGCAAGTGCTCAAAAAAAAAAAAAGAAGATACGTGTGGTGTCCTCTGGCCAGGCCCAAGCCCTTTGGGCCTATAACCACACCTCACATGTGTGTCCTCTCTTCAGCTGGGTCCCTGTGTTGGTATTCTAGAGGGTGGTGAGATGTGGGCGGTTAGAGGTTGGACAAATGTGTGTGCTGTTTTCCTATTCTGGCTAAAAATCCAGAGCTTGGAGGCAGAGACGTGAGCAATAAGGGACCTTGTGGATGTTATGTGCCAGTTGCTGTCTGTGCCCCCATTAGGTAGATTTGTCCTTTTTACTGTTACCACCTAGAGTGCAAATGAAATAAAATCCAAAATTGAGTTGTCACCAAAACAGGAATGGAAGGGAAATCTTCCAATGGGGCACTAATTCTGGTGACCTTGGCGACAACTATGGATTTCCTCCCACTTCCTGTTGTGACTATTGGACAGTAAGCAAAGAGAAATCTCCCCAGTGGGACAATAAAAGAAAAAAAAAAAACAAAGAAAAAAAAAAAACCAACCACGACAGGGGTTATAACCATCCTTTGCGTTTTATCCAAAATGAAAAACAAAAAATGCCTTTAGTTCCACTTTAAGTACTGTATTACTTGCATTAATGCTGATTATGCCCATGTCTGTGATGTATGTCTTTCCTTTTGCATATATCTGAGATGTAGTCTTTACTTGAGCTTTTAATAACTAAAAATGAATATATACTCATCATTAAACACTGTCCTTATTGTCTCAAGGCTGAAGACAAGCAGAAGTCAGCGCAGCTGTTCAGCAAACTGCAGGCTGCTATGAAGATCCTGGGAATCTCTGGCGATGAGCAAAAGGCCTTCTGGTTAATTCTTGGAGCCATTTACCACCTAGGTTCAGCAGGAGCCACCAAAGGTATATTAGAATTGTCCTGGTAGAGCAAAGACTAAGCATTTAACTCATTCTTCTTATAACAATAAACACGTTTAGTTAATTTTATGATTTTATAAAAAAAACCTGCCGGAATTTGGCATTTGTTAAAATTGTAATCTCCGCTGTATCTAATACTTAGAATAGCACAGCCTTATTTCTCTAAGATAGCTGT